CAATTTCTTTTGTTGTTATTGGTCTGTTCAAGTTTTCTACCTCTTCCTGGTTCAGTTTTGGGAGACGATGTGTTTCTAGAAATTTGTCCATTTCACTTAGATTGTCAAATTTGTTGTTATATATTTGTTCATGATCCTTTGTATTTCTGTGATGTCAGTTGATACTTCTCCTCTTTCATTTCTTATTTTGTGTATTTGGGTTCTCTCTCTTTGTTTCTTGGTGAGTCTAGCTAAGGGTCCATCAATCTTGTTTATCTTTTCAAAGAACCAGCTCTTTGTTTCATTGATTCTTTGAATTTTTTTTTTTGTCTCCATGTCATTTATTTCTGCTCTGATCTTTACTATTTCCTTCCTTCTACTTGCTTTGGAGTTATCTTTTTGTTTGCTTTCTAGTTCTTTAAGTTGTGAGGTTATATAGTCTATTAGAAATTTTTCTTGCTTCTTGAGGTAGGCCTGTAGTGCTCTGAACTTCCCTCTCAGAACTGCTTTCACTGCATTTCATAGATTTTGTGTTGTTGTCTGTTCATTTTCATTGGTTTCCAGGAAGTTTTTAATTTCTTCCTTGATCTCCATGATAACCTATTCATTGTTCAATAACATGCTATTTTGCCTCCATGTTTTCAAATGTCTTTGCATGTTCTTGTTGCAATTGATTTCTAGTTTTATGCCATTGTGATCTGAGAAGATGCTTTATATGATTTCAATCTTCTTGAACTTGTAGAGACTTAGTTGTGCCCTAACATGTGGTCTGTCTTTGAGAATGTGCCATGTGCACTTGAGAAGAATATGAATTCTGTAGTTTTGGAGAATAATTCTCTGTAGATATCTATTAAATCCATTTGATCTAGCGCTTCATTTAGAGTCTGTGTTTCCTTGTTAATTTTTTGTCTAGAAGATCTAATCAGTGCTGTCAGCAAGGTATTGAAGTCCCCTGGTATGACTGTATTGCTGTTGTTTTCTTCTTTAAAGTCATCCAAATGATTTTTAATATATGTCAGTGCTCCTATATTGGGTGCATATATGTTTACCAAGGTTATATCTTCCTATTGCAGATCCTTTCAATATTATGTAGTGGCCTTCTTTGTCTCTAGTTATGGCCTTCATTTTGAAATGTACTTTATCAGATATGAGTATTGCTATCCCAGATTTTTTTTGCTTTTCGTTTGCTTGAAAGATTTTTTTCCATTTCTTCACTTTCAACCTATGTGAGTCTTTTGTTGTGAGGTGGGTCTCTTGTAAACAACATATATATGAGTCATGCTTTCTTATCTAGTCAGCTACTCTGTGTCTTTTTATCGGAGCATTCAAACCATTCACATTTAAGGTGATAATTGATATGTACTTATTTATTGCCATTTTTTTTTTAGAGTGGTTATATTTTTCTTCCTATTTCTTCTACTAATTACAGCAGTCCTTTTAGCATATCTTGCAGTGCTGGTTTGGTGTTAATATATTCCCTTATTTTTTTTTTTTTTTTTATTGTCTGGAAAGCTCTTTATTTGACCTTCTATTTTGAATGATAGCCTTGCTGGATATAGTAGTCTTGTATTCAGATCCTTATTTTTCATGACCTTGATTACTTCATGCCACTTCCTTCTGGTCTGTAGTGTTTCTGCTGAGAAGTCAGCTGAGAGCCTTGTGGGGTTTCCTTTGTAGGTAACCTGTTGCTTATATCTTGCTACCTTTAGGATTCTCTCTTTGTCATTAATTTTTGGCATTTTAATCACTATGTGTCTTGGTATGGGTCTGTTTGTGTTCTTCTTAGTTGGGGCTCTCTGTGCTTCTTGAACTTGAATGCCTTCTTCCTTCACCAAGTTAGGAAAGTTTTCTGTCACTATTTCTTCAAATATATTCTGTAACCCATGCCCATTTTCTTTCTCTTCGGGGACTCCTATGATGCGAATGTTATTATGTTTTCAGTTGTCCCACGGTTCTCTTAAGCTGTCTTCCTTTTTTTAAATTGTTTTTTCCTTTTGGTTTTCTGATTGGTTGATTTTTTTCTACCCTGTCTTCTAATTCACTGATCCGGTCCTCAGCTTCCTCTACTCTGCTGGTTAGTTCTTCCAATGTGTTCTTAATTTCTGCTATGTCATTCTTCATTTCCACTTTGTTGGTTTTCAATGTTTCTATATCCTTACTCATGGTGCTGATGTCCTTACTCATGCTGTTGAGCTTCCTCAAGATCATGGCTTTGAACTCTACCTCTGATAATTTGCTTAGCTGCATTTCATTGATCTCGTCTTCGATAGAGTTCTCTTGTTCTTTCATTTGGTATTTGTTTCTTTGTTTCACCATTTTGGCTATCTCAGTGGGTTTTGGAGCCTGGCAAATTTTTCCTGTGGGTGTTGGTGTTCTGCTGCTTGTGGCTCCCTCTACTGGGTTTGGATGAGCCTGAGTGGGCCCACATTAAACACCACTGTCAGGTCTTACTTTCCTGGGTAGATTTGCAAGCCCAGGAAAGTTTCAGTTATCCTCTAGCTTTTTCCTGGTGGCTAGTAGTCTCAGTTACTCAGTGCCTTGGAATGTAGCCCTGGTGTTCTGCAGAAGAGGATTTGCAGAGGGTGGGATAGATGCTGGTTGTTAATGAGCCTCAATTTGCATTTCTGTGCCTCACCTGGGAAAGACTGAATCTCTGAGGGGGTGGGGCTGCTGCTTTTCCCCACAACTCTGGGAAGGAGCACACTGGCCACTGTCCTTTGTGGCTACAACTCAGCAAAAACGCTGAGTGCTCTCCAAGTCCCGGGTGTCCCCACAGAGTTCCAGCCCAGTCTGTCCTCCCTCTGCCATAGCCCCCAGGTGAGTGGCTGTGGCTATTTTAGTGCTCTGTTCTGGCTCTCTGTGCTGTGGAGTGGGCTTGGTGTTTACTCCCCAAGGGTGTTGCTCACAGCTAAGACTGCTGCTGTCCATGGGCTCCCAGCCCACCACCCTCTCGTGCCTCTGCAGATGCTACCAGTGTCCCTGGTTATATGGTCTTGTCCTGCTGCTTTACTGTTGCCTTTTTTTTCCCGAGGATTTGTCTTTATTTTAGTTGTAATTCCCATTTGGTCCTGGGAAATCTTCTGTGTAGCTTCCATTCACTCCGCCTCCATTTTCACATCCTCTACACCTATCTTGTGCACAGCTGGGTCGCACAGTCCCTTTGGGGATCTGGTTCTATGCCTATCTTATGAGCTGCTTCAGCACTTCAGCATCTTGTGAGCAGGCAGCTGGATTGCACCAGTCCCTCTTGGGCTCCCTTCCCACTGCACTTGTGAGCTGCTGGACCGCACATGCCTCTGTGGAGCCCCAGGTCCTGCTGCTCGTAAATGCTATTTATAATCCTTGATTGGATCCTGGATTGGAAATATACAATGGGTGTTATTAGAAAAATCAGGGAAATTAGAATATGGACAGTATGTTAGATAAGATTTTTGCATAAATGGTAAAATTTATTAGGCATCAAAATGTTAAGCTATGAAAGAAAAATGTCTATGTTCTTGGAAAATGCATGCTGAAATAATGATGTGTGAAACTTACTTTCAAAGATTTCTTTAAAAGTGTGTGTGTATGTGTGTGTGTGTGTGTGTGTGTAGATGGTATTTCTCTGGAAATGCACAACTTTGCCTTTGCTTTTCTGTGCTAGTGACTCCCTTGTCTGGTGCTTTTCAGCTTCATAAAGGGCATTTTTCACACCAGTGAATCTCAAGTGTGGGTCATGTGTGCTTCAAAGTATTTTGAGTGATCAAAGAGCAAACATAAGTAACTGACAATAGGAGGTTAGCAGAAGAAGCCATTTCAAAGGCACATAATTTTAAATGATCAAGCAGAAGACAATAAACCCACAAGTGTTGGTTTAACAGGCGCGAGCCAGCTGTGAACCACTTTGGGCACCACTCACGCTGCCTCACAGCAACATTTTGAACCAGCAACCCTCAGAGATCAACTACAGAGCTGGAGTGCTTGGCAGGCTCGGCTGCAGTGATGATCCAGAAACCAGTCTGTCAGTGCAAATGGACTCAGGACAAATGAAATGCAGCCGACAGGTTCCTCAGACAAAGATGGGAGGGAAACATGTTAGAGTGAAATGCCCTGTCTGATAGGTGCTGGAGGACGAATTGGTAGAATCAGTGGGCTTAGTAATTTAGGCCTGGGTGGCAGGCTCACCCAGCAAGAGGAGCAGCACACCATGGCGTCTCCGTCTGCTGCTGCTTCAAAGGGATCACACGTTATCTCAGAACATGATGAAGCGAAACAGAGAGGGGTCCTCTGAACCACGGGGGTTTTTCATTCAGTAGCAGAAAGTGCAGCTTTGGGAAACCACTGCATTCAAATAACCTTTGTGCTGTGTGATACCTAACACGGCTTCCCGGTAATGGCCACTTCACAGATTGGAAAATAATGATGTTTGGAGCTTTCTGACAGTTTATTTCCCCAAGATGAAAGAGGTCAAATATTAAGTACCTGTTAGTCTGTGGCCTAGCTAACCGGCAGCGAGGGGAATACACATAGGTTCAAGATTTTCACATCTGCAAGCTCTGGCCACATTACTTACCCTCTGGAAGTCACACTTTCCTCATCGTTATTGTGAGGCCCAAATGCAAAAATGTTTGAGAGGTGCTTATCATAGTACCTAGAACATAGTAGCAATTAAATCATAAATCATTAAATAAATAGGGGATTTTTTTTTTTTTCAAGAGGGAAAGGTGCTTGACAATGGTTGTTGCTTGACATTAGATTTCTCTGAATGTACAGACTTTAAGATGCTGTGTAGGCTGGTTGAAATTCAAAGATATAATAATTAAGGTGTGACAAAGCTTTTGTGTAGATTTGAAAAGTGATCCTTTTAAGCTTGAGAAACTGGACCCAGGTAGAGATGTCCAGTGGGAAGTTAGGAATGGGATCTGTGTCTTGGGAGAGGTGTGGCTATTCGTGTTGCCTTGGGGATCAGCATCACATAGAGATGGTCAAGGGTGTGGATAGACTAGGTGACTTTAATAACTGTATCTCCTTTGCTTTATCAGCTTTTCCATGTGGCCTATATTTTAATCAAATTTGCAAATTCTCCTCGTCCTGATCTTTGGGTCTTGGAAAGATCTGTAGACTTTGGAAGCACCTACTCACCTTGGCAATATTTTGCTCGTAAGTAGTAATCTCAACTACTGTGCTACAGGGGGCTTTAATTATTTGCAACAGATTAAGGCTTTAGATTGAATTAGAAAATTTGTTTCTCCATGTGGCTAGTTAGGGATTGATCAATTTTAACGTTCTAGGTTACCCTCAGCAGAGCCCTGTTTCTCAAGCAAGTGTGCATTAATTACAAGTACACACTTGCAGAACTGAGGTTGAAATGCCTTTTATGTTAACAGTTTTTGCCACTATTCAGGGAGAAGCCATCATTTTCCTTTTATGCATAATTAGAAACCAAGTTTCATCTTTATGGATCCTGTATTTCACCTAACTTACCTTGACTCTGTCCTCTTCACTAATGAAGAATGTCAGTGTGATGAACCCTAGGATAAATTGAGGTAGACAGGGATTTTGCTTGCAAAGGCATTGGGTTTTCTGTGACTGCTCCTTAAACTTGCTTAATGAGGAGTGAGGGTTTCGAACCACATCTCCAAACACTGCTTTTGAAAGTCAAGTGGCCTGGCTTGATCTTTCCTTTCATGATCTGAAAACTTCATTCTAAGCTTTTGTCTAAAAATCCTCAATGCTTCTCTGTTCTTTCTCTATTCATGTATTTTCTTAGGGAAACATAAGATTTATTAAGAGATATCCAGCAAGGTGATTATATTTTACTTGATAATATTAAAATGTTTTGTTTCTAGATTCTAAAGTAGACTGTTTGCAACAATTTGGGCAGGTGGCAAATGTGGCTGTCACCAGAGATGATGATGTTCTTTGTACTACTGAATATTCCCGGATTGTACCTTTGGAAAATGGCGAGGTAAGTAGATTTGGGAGGCTGTGAGAGAGACGACTCAGAAATGAACACGAGGATATAAACATCTTCATAATTGTGAAATTTGCACTTTCAAGTAGATTTGACATAGATCACGATGGAAACCGGTACTTGGGACTAAATGGTAAAAGAATCACATTAAAGACTCCCAGAATGAATTGGATTGGAAATTCTGTTTTATTTTGTTTTTTTAAATTATTGAGGTATGATTGACATTGGAAATTATATTAGAGATCTCTAATTCTCCCCTGGAAGTCAGGATTCTGGATTCAAGGCCCAAGGTCTTGAACTCTCTTTTCTGGCGGAATATTTAGAAGGTGGGTTGCTGGTGATTGACATGAAGCCCCTCCCACTGATTCCCAGACACATTATCCCAGTAGTAAGAATAAGGAGATGAAGGGTAGGAGGCAGCACGAATCCCTGATTCCTTTGGGCAGGGTGGGCATCATCTGTTGGGAAGAGAAGAATTGTTGTCCTGAGGGGTTGCGTTTCGCCCTTGTGCAGTCAGCCAGGCTATTGTTACAAGAAATGGGAAAACAGCCCTGGCCGGTTTGGCTCAGCGGTTAGAGCGTCGGCCTGCGGTCCTGAGAGACCCGGGTTTGGTTCCCGCTAAGGGCATGTACCTCGGTCGCAGTTTGTCCCCGGCCCTGGTCAGTTGTGCGGGTGGCAGCCACTCGATGTGTCCCTTTCACATCGATGTTTCTCTCTCTCTCTGTTCCTCTCTCTACCGCCGACTCTACCTGAACAAAAAATGGAAAAATGTCCTCGGGTGAGGATAAAAAAAAAAAAAAAGAAAGAAATGGGAAAACAGAGATGGGGGAAATCAGAGAAGAATTCCATGGAAATTGTGATGCCATAATGAGCATGAATGAGTTTCAAGTAAACTTCTTTAAAGGGTGTCAGTCTCCCCCTCTTTAGGTAGAAAGATATTTTTGAGCAGGTCTATCCAGTATCTTATAATGAGTGGTGAGTGGTTCATGTCTCAAATGGTTGGGACTTGAACTCTTTCTCCTCAAGCTTTAAAATAAAACCTTGGCTTTGTATAGATATTTTAGCTCCTTCACTGTCAACTTTAAATCCAGAGACTTCCTTTTTTAACCTCATTTAGATTTTTAGATTACTTTACCTTTGTTTCTTTGATGCAGCTTGACAAAAAGTGGTTTCCTTATGTTTATATATTTTAACATTATGCTTTCAACATGTCATAGTGTTACGGCCCCACTGCTACAGTGATAGAATGAAGGGTTTCAAAATGAAATGATAGCATCTTATGAGAGCCTAGGTTTTAAGGACAGATTGCCAGAATTTGAAGTGACTGTGGAACTAGCAATGATGCTTTAGACATAAACAAGATCCAAGACCACCTCACCTACAAACATCTAATAGTTCAAAGAAACCTAGTACTTTGGAGCATGTGAGTTATTAATTTTTATGACAAGACTTTTTTCCCCCTATGTGTATGTGTGGTTATTTTAGGTTGTGGTGTCTTTGATAAATGGTCGTCCAGGTGCAAAAAATTTTACTTTCTCCAACACCCTGAGGGAGTTCACTAAGGCAACAAATATCCGCTTGCGTTTTCTCCGAACCAACACCCTTCTTGGACACCTCATCTCCAAAGCACAACGAGATCCAACCGTCACTCGGCGGGTGAGTCATATTTTAAAGTGCCTAGACAGCAGGTTTTAAAACATTTTTTTTCTGCTTATCACATTAATTGCCTTGAACTCTTTCAAGTAATCTTTATAGCTATAATAGTGTAGGCGTAGGAGTTGTTCTTGTCTGAATTACTAGATGTAACTTAGAAGTTTGGTTGTTGAGGAAAAATTATTACCTTCAAAGATGAAAGGCAAAGGATGACAGCCAGCCTGGTATTAGTCTGATATTAAAACAAACGATCCCCAGGTCTCAGAGGCTTAACAAAATAAAGGTTCACTTTTTGCTCATGTGACAGTCTACTGTGTGTAGCAGGAGGGATCGGCTCCACAGAGTCATTCAGGGAACCAGTCACTTTTTATTTAAAGGAGCAGCCATCCTGTAGGACCTCAGAGTCCTTCTATGGATCCCCTGCATCTGGTCAGCAGATGAGGGAAGAGAGAGGGTAGAGAAGACCCAAATGCTCCCAACCACATAGGTCACTTCCATTGGCAGGAACTGGTTGTATAGCCGCACCTACATGCAGGAGGCTGGGTAATATAAAATAGCCAAAGTAGAGGAGACATAGATATTGGTGAGCACTAGTACTTCTGTTGTGTTGGATGTATAGCCTGAACACCTCTCATTCTTCTCCCACTCCCTAATTTCCTGCCAGTGCCTCCCACTGGCCAAACCCAACAGAAAGCCAGAGAGCAAGAGACGCTTGTTGCAACCCATGAAGTTCAGCCCCAGGGCAAAGGGCAAGGTGGAAAAAGGTGGAAAGTGGACCTCAAAGTATGAATGGAAGATGTCCAACACCTTTTAGAGTTTGGCTTCTTATGTAGGTAATATCAGAGAGCTGGAAAAGGAAGAGAGGAAAGTAGGTTTCACTACAGCTTTTAGCATTTTCCAGAAAGGCCCGCTATGTTGGGTGTAGGTGGCTTATCTTGAGCATTTACTGTACTGGTAGCACTCTGAGCTGCTGTCTGTGGGAACTGTCCTGGATCCCAGGATGGAATTTACAAGGGAGACGGGGCTTTCTGTTCAACTGTGGGCAGACTGCGCTTCCATTCCTCCAGGTGTTTCGAAGCCCTGCTGCAAATGTACTCAACACCTTTAAAAAAAAATGGTCTATTCAGGGGTTGCAAAATTTGTACTCGTATGTTTGCGTATTGTTTTTCACTTAGGTAAACTCAGCCTCTACTGTTAAATTATTTTTTTAATTGATTGTTAGAGAGAGAGGAAAGGGAGAGAAAGATAGAAACATCAATAAGAAAGAACATTGATTGGCCGCCTCCTGCATACCCCCTACTGGGGATCTGGCCCACAACCTGGGCATATGCCCTGACCGGGAAGCAAACTGGCGATCTCTTGATGCATGGGTGAGTCACACTAGCCGGGCTCTTTAAGTAATTTTTAATGGGGTGCACAACATGTGATCTCAAGTCCCCAAACCTAGGTTGCTTCTCTGAATGGAGGAACAGAATGTCAGCTGTCACAGTATGCGTGCTGCTGGAGTGCGGGCTGATCGCGTGCTGCTCTCTCCTGCTGCTGCCCTTAACACATATGTAGAGAGAAAGAAACTCCTACGGTGATCAGCACAGAAGCCTCTGAGTGTTAACATATCACAGAAAGCCCTTGAATATCGAATTCATCCATATTAACAAGAGAGGTTGTTAATGCCTTCAGACTAAGCAAGATGTTGCCAGGAAGCTTAGACACTTAAGCAGTTTTTAAAGAGGAACTCAGAAGAGAACCCCAGCATCCAGTGAACAGGGCGCTTTAAGATGATTAATCTCAGCACGGCAACAAAAAGCTACAAAACCCTCTTGTCCTTGTGAATTCAAAGACTTCCTCACTGGCAGGTGTTCTCACTGGCAGAAAGATCATTCCAACTCCCGAATTCCTCTCCCAGTCTTGTGCCTCTCCCGCTAAGTCTGAGCAGGCAGGGAGCTGGCAGACAGTGCCACCTGTTGTCGCTAGCGGGGAGGCCTTCAGCGCACCCGAGACCTGCCTTGTCAGCGAGATGGCCTGCCGGTGTGTGTGGCCGGGCTGATCCTCGGCTTGGTCTGCAGCTTGCGGGGTCTGGCCTTTGGAGCCTGAAGCTCTGCAGTTGGCCTTCCTAACCTTGAGCTGGCAAGGCTGCAGCAAGTGTGATGGCCCCGCCGGCTTTGCAAGCATCCCCTCCCTTCGCGGAACCTACACGGACATAGTAGGTGCAAACTTTCTGATACAAAATTTATTTTTGGTAAATAAATATGTTGTCTGTGAAGCCCAGATTTGCATTTAAAAAATAAACTAGGAAGTGCTTCATTTCTTTTCAAAAGGCTAGAGGGTATGATTCTTTCCCAGGGCAGTTTCCTTCCAGTGTTTTAAAGCGTTTAGTTTTTAAAAAGGTACACATTCAGCATTATGTCATTAAATTTGATCGAGGATTGAATTAATTATTGATTCCCTTGGGGTTGAGGTAGGCTCAAGAGAACAGGATGCAAGGGAAGCAGGGCCAGTAGAGACCGCGTAAAGATTAGTGAAGGAAGGTTTTTGCTGTTCTTCAGTAAAATGGACACATTCTGTTTTCTGTTGCATAGTATTATTACAGCATAAAGGATATCAGCATTGGTGGGCGGTGTGCTTGCAACGGCCATGCTGAAGTGTGCAATGCAAACAATCCTGAAAAACTGTAAGTACTCTGTGCAGATTTGTTAGCCCTGCTATGAATAGGCCTAATTGTTTCAGTGGATGTTTGCATCCCTTTAAACATCTCCAGTTCCCACCACCACCACCACCCCGCCCGCCCCCCAGCCAGACAGTGCCTCAAGCAGGCACAGATAATTGATTAGACTTGCCAAGAGAAATAAAACTGGTTTGTCATCCTTGGTTTAATGGGATCAGGGGTATACATATTCAAATCCTCCCACCCCTTTTTTTATTTTGGCAAAATTCACATAGAGTTTAGAATCTTAACCATTTTTAAGTGTTCAGTTGTGTTAAGTACATTCACAGTATTGTGCAACCAATTTCCAGAACTCTTCATCATGCAAAAATGAAGTTCTCCCCCTATTGAACAACTCCCCATTCCCTCCTCTCTCAGCCCCTGACAGCCACCATTCTACTTTCTGACGCTATGGTTTTGACTACCCTAGGTACTTCATATAAGTGGAAGCACATAGTATTTGCACGGTGGAATCATGCAGTATTTGTCTTTTTGTGACTGGCTTATTTCACTGAGCATAATGTTCTCAAGGCTCGCCCGTGTTGTGGCATGTGTCAGGATTTCCTTCATTTTTGAAGCTGAATATTATTTCATTGTGTATATATATCACATTTTGTTTATCCATTCATCTGTTGATGAACACTTAGGTTAAAGCTACCTTTGGCCATGAACAAATTTGTGTTTTTAATTTGGTATATTTCACATAGAATGAGATGCATGGGTCTTAAATATTAAGTGTTCAGCAATCGCATATATTCATGTTACTGCCACAAGAGGGATACTTCTAAGGGCCGGAAGTTGCTGGATGCTAGACTTGTAATACTTTTCTCTCAGTGTTTGATTTAATGGCTACAATTCCCCATGAGTAGCACTGATGAGAGATACATTTCACTTTAGTCGGATTCGGGTCTGTGCATTGTTAGGCCACGCTGCAGGTTCGGGTGGAGGTGCCAGCTCCTGGCCTATGTGCTTTGTGGAGCCCTTATCCCTGACCAGCAACAGTCCCCAGGTTTGTTCGTCCTCCTTCAGGGGTCAAGTGATGCTATCTGAGGTAGCTGCGTGAATCCACCAACTGACTAGCCTTTCATTGGCAAGGACTTATTATTATTTTAATCCTCACTCAAGGGTATTTTTCTATTCATCTTCAGATAGAGTGGGAGGGAGGGAGAGATAGAGAGAGGGAGAGAGAGAAACATCGACATGAGAAGGACACATTGACTGGTTGCCTCCCACATGACCCCGACCAGGGCCGGGGACGAACCACAACTGAGGTACGTGCCCTTGACCAGAATCGAACCTGCAACTCTTTGGTCCACAGGCCGACGCTCTAACTGCTGAGCCAAACTGGCCAGGACAAAGACTTAATTATTAATGATTAAACCATCACTCCCATGTAGCCTCCTGGAGGTTACTGGAAGTCAGGTCAGGGACGTCCTGAGTTATAGAGAGGGAGAAGAACAGGTTGGTCTATTGCTTCTGACCCTGAGACAAAATGGATCCATGTGGGAGAGTAAAGTCAACAAAGAAGATCTGAGTCTTTCCTCTTGGAAGAGCTGCCAAGTTTGATTCTGCACACCTGGAGGAGTTGTATACTGGGAGGTTGTGAGTGGAGAGCCCATCTCCCCATGCCTTGGTGAAAGGTTCAGTTTGCCACTGGTCTACCTCAATGCCACTGCCTTGCCTCCTCCTACCTGTTGGTTTGTTTGACCAACAGGCTGGCTTGCACAAATGCTGATAAAATTCACATCCATGAACAAAACCTTATATTTAGGGGATGCAGTGACACTGGAGGAAGCCAAGACTGGAAAATCAGAAAAGTTAGTTGCTGCTCTGGTTGGTTTGGCTCAGCAGTTGGAGCATCAGCCCGTGGACCAAAGGGTCACAGGTTCAATTCCTGGTCAAGAGTTGCGGGTTTGATCTCTGGCCCCAGTGGGGGTTGTGTGAGAGGCAACCAATCAATATGTCTCTCTCACATTGATGTTTCTCTCTCTCTTCCTTCCACTTTATCTGAAAAGCAGTGGAAAAGTGTCCTTGGGTGAGGACTGAAAAAAAGTCAATTGCTAATCAAGCAGAACTGGCAGAAGAGGGCTTTAATTAAGCATAGATGCCATGCTGACCTTGATGCATGGAAACATGGATTGATCACATATTTCATTCTGAGCTTCCTAGCAGTCCACTCAAAAAGAGAAACCTGCTCAGTATCATATTTCACTATGATAATCTAAAAAGTAATCAACTGCTTAGGAGAAGCATGACTGTTTACATTAGAACCAGATAAGAAATTTCCCTGGGGGTAAGCTGGAGTGGTCATCACAAAGCGGATTCTCTAGTCAATAATGTCGTTAATGAAGTCCTTACAGTAGATGCAAGGATCAATTTTCTATATTAACCATCAGTCAGAAAAAGCAATTATTTGGGGGTACTAAAATGATTCAAACAAATACCCAGCTTTCTGTTTTTCTTTTTGACTATGCTCAATTTTAATCTCCCTAAGAGAGCAGTTGGACTGTATGTTCTTCAAGCTGTATTCCTTAAATAATTCTTTCAGTCCAGCTTATGCAAGTATGTCATTGGCAATGAACTGAACTCATCTCTCTCACAAAATCCCATTTGGACTCCAGGGTTCTTTGCTGCCAGTTAAATGGATGTCCACTTGCTTTACAGCAGCTGGGAGAGGACCTGAACCTATGCCATCCCACCTCCCACACTACAGTTGAAGGAATCCCCACAGGCACAGCCAAGAGCCTTCTTTTAATTACTTCCTGTTTTTGTTATTTATTAAATTCGCTTATGTCTTTAGATATTTACATATATGCGAACACCATTTAATAGGATTACACTTAAAGCATTTGTGCTTTACCAAAAAGAGCGAGATATTCTATGTAATTTTCTTTTTTTCTTTTTCTGTTGTGAATCCTCCTTCAAGCTCAGATGAATGTGAGAGAGCTCAGAGCTTAGAGTTCTAATCCAATGCCATGGCTACAACAATTTCATTAAAATTTGGAAAAGTTTTAAGGCAGATATATAATCTTTTGAATGTATATTTTTAAAAGATTTCTTTTTAGCCCTATGCCTTGCTGAGCAATCTCAGCTTCGGGCCCTGGGCTGACACTGTTTGTTGGAGCTGGCGTGGCCACTTGGGACGGGGTCCTATGAGATCTTACCTGTCTCTTGGATCCGTGAACCTCTGTGCACGGCCCCAGGCTGAGAGCAAGGAATCTGAGTAGACCTTCGACTCCAGATCTCTATGAAGCTGTGGACTCACGTCTCAGAAAACTCAGCACGTGTTGATATTGTGCTGATTTATCGTCATATAATGTGATTTGGAGTCAAACAGGTTTGAAATCTGACTCTCATTTATCACCAAGTGTTTTAATATCTCTGAATTTTAGTGTCAACATCTGTAAAATGGAGATAATAAGCGGGCTGGGGGAGACTTGAAAAATATATGCCAAATGCTTTGTTCTCATAATTACTCAATGCATGGTGACCGTGATGACTCTCAGTTTTTCACACAGGAACAACTGATCTTAATGAAAACTTTTCGGTAACTCAGATGTGCTTCACCACATGCCCAGGTTTCGTTGTGAATGCCAACGCCACACCTGTGGGGAGACCTGTGATCGCTGTTGTGCTGGGTACAATCAGAGGCGCTGGCAGCCTGCCACATGGGAGCAGAGCCATGAGTGTGAAGGTGAGCAGTGGGGGAGGGGCACCGGGAAACGAGGCCCCGCCCAACACCCCCGCCCTCAATTCTACCTGACAACTGATGCTGTGTATTTCCCTGCTTGTGAAGAGGGTGGGATCATGTCACTCTTAGGCACACAGGTCTTACCTTGTAACGAATAACACACAGACGGGAGGTATAAGTGCCCCATTCTGAATTCAGATATAAATATGAGAACAAAAATAACAACAGTAATAATCTTTAATATGTAGTAAGCATTCATTATATGCAAGAATTGGGCTGAGTGCTTTAAGGTAAGTTGCCCTCTCCTTTTAGCAATCTAAAATATGATGCAGCCACTACTAAATTTTAAACACTTACCATTTCTTAAGTGATGAGTGATACTGGATTGGAATCCTAACTATTTTGGGGACTGAGGTCTGGAGAAGGTGGTGAGACTGGCAGCTACGTAAGCAGAGAGCTGGAAGCATTGGGGCAGCAGGGGGGCGGCAGGAGGGGTGCTATAGTAGGATTGAGGTGGGTGCAGATGGAGGGGACCATAGAAGGAAGGAAAAGAGACGCGGGGCTGCTTTTGATTATGGTTGCAACGTAAAGTAAGGAAACTGATATTTTAACAAACAAGCCCTATAACCGCCAACTGAAGAGCTGTTTCTTTCAAACTGCTCTTCTCCGTCCCTGGACAGTTTGCTCAGTGGTTAGAGCACCGGCCTGTGGACTGAAGGGTTGAGAGTTCAATTCCCAGTCAAGGGCATGTACCTGGGTTGCAGGTTTGATCCTCAACCCTAGTTGAGGTCATGCGGGAGGTAACCAATCAATGTCTCTCTCACATCGATGTTTCTCTCCCTCCCTCCCTTCCACTCCATCTAAAAATCAATGAAAAAAATTTCTTTGGGTGAAGATTAACAAAAATAAAAATAAACAAAAATAAACTGCTCTTCTTAGGAAGCCACCTATTTATTCCAGTTGCTGAAAACATTTCTGTAACTTTTAGTTACTGGTTTTGGAGACTGTGTCCTTTTTTTTTTTTCTGAATATTCTTAGTGTGTGGACTGAAGATGGGTTTGTTTTTTTTGAAGTGATCAAAAGGTGCTTGGATCTAGGTTTTTTGAACTAGGTGGGTAAGAAAGAATCTGTACTTTCTATCTTTTGGCCAAATATTTTTGTAACTATTAAGAAATGAGACCGATGAGGTCTGTGATCAGCAAACTTACTCAAAAGGCATTTGCAGTGAGGAGCTCCGAGGGTGTGTTGGAAGCTCAACGCTGCCGGAAGCTGCTGCTGCTCCCAAGGGGGACACTCGGGTGCGTATCCAGGCCCGGGTGTTACCTGGACGGCCATTCTCACTTCATGGTCAAGTGAACAATGACTTTCTCAGTGACTTCTCCATTCCTCATCCCCAGATAATGGGACCAGAAAGAGGGAAAAGTAATAATCAGGGTCGTCTGGTTTAGGACACTTTGAATAACTGTGATCACTTGAACTCCGATATTCACAATTGGTTAATTTTTCAGATTAATTGAATCTTTCAGTGAATGACATGCTTTACTCACATATGAAAATGTTTAACTAGTTTCCTCTTATTAGTTTTTAATCATTTTATACTTGTCAGAATGGCCAAAAGTTACAAAACCAGCATACGGAAATCAGACTGTTAAGATCTGTTTGTTAGGTATTTTCTAAATTCCATGTGAACTACTGCAATTCAGAATAAACATACTTCTTAAGAAATAACTGATGCAATAAATATAAAAGGCTTGAATTTTGTTTTAAATCATGGCACCACGGGGGAAAAGAAAATAAGAAAGTGCTCAGCTTTTTTAAAAACAGAGTAACTTGAAATCTTAACTCAATCTTATTTCCTGATAGATTTATCTGGGAACTTGATTAAAACATACAAATTACTAGAAAGACTTGGAAAATTTGATCTAGGCAGAATGTAATGAATAGTTACTTTGCATAAAAGAGAATAAGAATTTCACTCATGTTAGATCTTTTTCATCTTGGCAATGAAGAAAATCCTAAATGGGATTTAAATTAGATTTTCTAATTTTAGAAGTATTACACATTACTTGTAAAAAACTAAAAAATTATTTTAAAAAGGAAAATCACAATCATTTTGCTACCCAAAGAAAACCACTAGTAACATCTTGTTAGGTTTTTTAGTGGGTTTTTTTCTTGCTTACTTTAAAATTCAAGAGTGTATTATTTATATAATTTTATATTCTGATCTTGTCACTTGCTATTTTTAGATATGTTCTCATATTATTAAAAACTCTTTATGCCTGACCAGTGTGGCTCAGTGATTTGAGCGTCCACCCATGCACCAAGAGGTCACCAGTTCGATTCCTGGTCAGGGCACATGCCCAGGTTGTGGGCCAAATCCCCAGTGGGGGGCATGCAGGAGGCAGCTAATTGATGTTCTCTCTCATCCATGTTTCTCTCTCTCTCCCTCTCCCTTCCTCTCTCTCTAAAATCAATAAAGAAAAAAAAAAACAAAAAACAAAAAAAAACCCCTCTGTGACATCCTTTTTAATGGCACATAATATTGTCAATCTATGGATTTAAGTGTATCCAAAAAGTGTTTGTTGAGTTCTCATTATGTTCTGGAGAATGTGCTCTATTGCAAATGAAACACAAGCTGTTCTTGGCTTCATGGAACAGACAGCCAAACAATTATACTGTTGTTTGTTTAGCCGTTTCCCTATGATTAGACATTATGATTATTTCAATTTATCACTATTATAAATAGTGCTGAGATGAAAGGCTTAGAGTATGGGCTTAGAGAATAGCTTTGAAATCAAACACAGACAAGTCAGGATTCTGCCTCTCTTATTTATAAGCTGTGTACCTATGGGCACATCCCTTAACTTCTCTAAGCCTCAGCCTCCACAGCTGGGCTATGGGAATAATAGCACCTACCTTAGGGTGTTATTGCACTGATTGAGATACTGCATTTAAAGTGCTTTCCACAGTGTACCAGGAACTCAATTATTCTTGTTAGTAGTAGTAATAACAGTAAAAGTGATCATTCTCTTTGTGCATGATATTTTTTATTTTTATTTTTTTAAATCCTCACCCGAGGACATTTTTTTCCATTTTTTGTTGAGAAAGAGTGGGAGGGAGAGAGCAGAAGAGAGAGAGAGAGAGAAACATCGACGTGAAAGAGACACATCGACTGGCTGCCACCCGCACTACCAACCAGGGCCGGGGACAAACTGTAACCGAGGTACATGCCCTTAGCGGGAACCAAACCCGGGTCTCTCCGGACCGCAGGTCAACGCTCTAACCGCTGAGCCAAACCGGCCAGGGCTGTGCATGATATCTTAATTTGTTGTTACTATTTTATTTATTTATTTACTTATTTATTTATTTATTTATTTATTTATTTATTTATTTATTTATTCTTGATGTGCACATTCTCTTGGTCTTGGCAGGTTTTTTTTTGTCCTTACCCAAGGACATTTTTGCATTTATCTTCAGTTAGTGCGGGAGGGAGAGAGAGAGGAAGAGAGAGAGAGAAACATCAATGTGAGAGAGACACATCAACTGACTGCCACCCACATGACCGCAACCGGGACTGGGGACAAACTACAACCGAGGTACGTGCCCTTAGTGGGAACCGATCCCATGTCTCTCTGGTCTGCAGGCCTATACTCTAACCCTGAGCCAAACCAGTCAGGGCTTGCTTTTTTTTTAAAAAAAGAGAAACCTGTCCCATTGAATATCAAATGAAAGAGCTATAAACTGCAAATTGTAATAGACTAGACTTTGTGTAAAAGTCCCTAAAATGTTCTACTCAGTGTCCCTTGGGTTCTGGAAGAGACTGTATGTAGCTCAATAAGCAGTAATATTCTCTGGGGGAATTTACGAGTGTCTCACCATCACGATGCTATAATAACTCAGATTGCCTTTTTTCAGTGTGCAACTGCCATGGCCACGCTGCCGACTGTTTCTACGATCCAGAAGTTGAGAGGCAGCGGGCAAGCTTGAATAGCCAAGGCGTCTATGCAGGTGGAGGGGTCTGCATTGATTGTCAGGTGAGGCACTGTTTAAGTCAAAGTGGATGTATCACTGTAGGAGATGGACATGCATTAAGCCCTGCTCCCAAAAAGATGCCAAGAAAGTCATAAGCAAGTTGAAGTGTTTTCTGAAATTGTTTTTCCACTTTTGTACGCAGAAGTTCTTGTTAGCTGGATGTACTTTAGGGACCGAAGGGAGAATGGAATGAATCACGTTTGTCGACACCCCATTGATTAAGTTCTTCATTTAAGTCTTTGCCTAAATGGAGAGGAGAATTCCTGGCTGTCATCCTGACCCATGTTATGGTGTAAAGGCTCTAAAATTGGAGGGAGAATAGGTGTCAACCTCAGTGCTGATCCTAAATCTTGTGTTCAGACAGATTTTGAATCTAGGCTCGGTGAGATAGTACACGAGGAACAATTAATGATGTTTGCCATTGATATCAAATATGAAACACTAATTTTTCATCTTCTCTATTGGACAATTGGGTTCACTGGGAATTAGCCAAGAGGAGGGTATGGCCCAGGAGGGTCTAATGTTCATGAATTTGGTCTATATTGTCACTCAGTCTTGTGTGCTTTTAGAGTAATATTGTGTTAATGTTACCATTATTGAACCAGGGCCATCCAAGTTTAGAGAGACCTACCGTTCTCCACTTATCCCACTCTATACACTATCTCCTCTGTCATTGTAGATAATTAAAATACAAGTAAAATATAAGTCATAGGTTTGTTTCCAATCACAGGGTTTCAGGGTCTTTTAAAGGCTATGAACTACAAGACCCTCAGGTAATGTGTATGAAATTAAAATTGCAGAAGCACTGGACTAGGATGTATAGGCGGGATGCTTTCTCCAAATGCAGGATCGACCCCCTCCAGTATGTCTTTAGAATATATTGTTCTTCCTATCCCTTTTCTCAGGTGATATTACATTTTGTATTTTGCAGTTCCAGAAACACGTCAATATAGTCTCTCTCTCTCTCTCTTTTTTTTGTAATGGCTCTGCAAAAGCATTTTTCTTTTGTATATGAATTATTGAAGTCTTGTTCAGGTTCACTGTATTCTTTCCAACTTAAATTTTAAATGCCCTTGTTTAAGTTAGGTATGCAACTAGCATAATTAACTTAATTTTTATTGTAGTGAAATATGAATTACATAAACTCTATCACTTTAGCCATTTTTAGTATAAGAATAAAGAAATTTTATGTTAATAATTAAAGAGCAAGGAGGGAGCTCTGACTCTGTATGGTTTAGTGGCTCCAACAGGACTGAAACCTCCCAGAATAAGAACTATGGACTATCGACAAAATACAAAAACAAAGAAACAAAAAAAAACCCTCCCCAAACAGTGATCTGAAGGCACTGGGGAGTAAACATAAACAGGAAGATACTGGAGAGGAGCTGCCACTTAGTAAAAGAGATCAGCATAGTTACTTTCTTTTTTTCATTAACTTTTAGCCAGAGGGCAGGTCAAAGTTGGTGCCATGTGGTGTGGCTAAAATTCCTCCAGAAAATCTGGAGTCTTTCTGGCCCGAAGAACAAGAGGGCAGAGCTTAGGATAATCACAGCTTTTGGAAAATGAGTGGGGAGTTCAGGGAAAAAGAAATCAAGAGAGTAAATCCTTAATTCTGTGTATAAATTCTTCTCAAATTTATGACTGACCCCTGAACCATTCATACACAGGATGGATTTCACCTAAGACTAAAATAATTTATTTGAGATTTGAGTTACCACTCGAGTCAAAGTTTACAGTCTCTGTAAAGCCAATGGTCTCATAAAACAAGATAAAATATTCTTTAGAGAAATATTACAGAATCCAGAGTCTTTATAATATAATATTTATAATGTCCAGGATACAATCCAAAATTTATTGACGTTTGAAGAACCAAAGGTAGTGACCTATTCTCATGAGAAAAGACAATCAATAAAGACCTGACAATCAATCAGTCCTGAGATGACCCAGATGTCCATGCTAGCAGTTAAGGATTTGAGACCTGTTGTTATAACTGTGCTCACAAATATAATAAAAACATGTTCACCGTTAATTAAGATATAATAACTATAACAGAAATAAACATGATAAAAGAAACCAAATGAAAATTCTAGAACTAAAACATACAATATATTAAATTGAAATTTTACTTTATAGGTCTAATAGCAGGATGAAGAAAATAGAAGAAGGATAGCAGATCTCAAGATAGATCAATAGAAATTAGAGAGTCCCGGGTTCCGTTTCGGGTTCTGCTAGGGGCACATACAAAAGAAAGAAGGAAGGAAAGGAAAGGAAAGGAAAGGAAGGGAAGGGAAGGGAAGGGAAGGGAAGGGAAGGGAAGGGAAGGGAAGGGAAGGGAAGGGAAGGGAAGGGAAGGGAAGGGAAGGGAAGGGAAGGGAAGGGAAGGGAAGGGAAGGGAAGGGAAGGGAAGGGAAGGGAAGGGAAGGGAAGGGAAGGGAAGGGAAGGGAAGGGAAGGGAAGGGAAGGGAAGGGAAGGGCAAGGCAGAAGGAAGAAAGAAGAAAGAAGAAAGAAGAAAGAAAGAAAGAAAGAAAGAAAGAAAGAAAGAAAGAAAGAAAGAAAGAAATTATCCAGTCTAACAAAGAGAAAGAAAAGATAAAAAAAAAAAAAAAATGAACAGAGATTTGGGGACTTGTGGGACAATAGGAAAGGTCTAACACACATGTAACTGGAATCCCAGAATAGAGGAGAGAGAATGAAGGGGAAAAAAGAAGAGAAACAATGGCAGGAAATTCCTTAAATTTTGCAATAGATTAATATTCAGGAGAGTTCATGAACTCCCAAGTGGATAAATACAAAGAAAACCACTCTGGGCCTAATAGGGTTAAAAGCAAAGACAAAATGAAAATCTTAAAAGTAGACAGAAAAAGAACACATTACAATGTTTGTGGACACCTCATTAGAAGCTACGAAGGCCACAAGATAGTGGAGCAATATCTTTAAAGTGCTATAAGAAAGAAAGAAAAAAAGAAATTGTCAACCCAGAATTCTGTATTTAGCAAAAATATCATTCAAAAAGGAAAGTTAAAAAAAAAAAAAATTCATCAATAAAATAAAGCCGATACTCTGGTGGCTCAGTTGATTGGAGCATCGTCCCATACACCAAAGGTTTCAGGTTTGATTACCAGTCTAGGTTGCAGGTTCAATCCCAAGTCAGGGCTCATATAGGAGGCAACTGATCAATGTTTCTCTCTCATACTGATGTTCCTCTCTCCCTAAAAATCAATAAAAAACATATCCTTCAACATGGCCGGTTTGGCTCAGCAGTTAGAGCATCAGCCTGCGGTCCAGAGAGACCTGGGTTCGGTTCCCACTAAGGGCATGTACCTCAGTTGCAGTTTGTCCCTGGCCCCGGTTGGGGTCATGCGGGAGGCGGCCACTCAGTGTATCCCTTTCATGTCAATGTTCTCTCTCTCTCTCTTCCTCCCTTTCCCTCCCACTCAGCCTGAACAAAAATGGAAAAATGTCCTTGGGTGAGGATAAAAAAAAAAAAAAAAAAAAAAAATATATATATATATATATATATATATATATATATATATATCCTTTGGTGAGGATTAAATAAATAAAAAGCCAGAAATGCTGAAGCAAGTATTTTAGGTCAAAGAGATATGGTACCAGATGGAAACTCAGATCCTCAGGAAGAAATGAAGAGTATTAAATAAAAAAAGACTATTTTTAAAAATTAAAAAAAATATGTAGGGCTGCTTAAAGTGAAAACTATAACATTGTCTTGTGAGATTTATAATGTGTATAGATATAATGTACATGAAACCATAGCATAAACAACGGTGAGGACATATAGGACTACAGTGTCCACACTGTTCATGCAGTGGTACAGTATTAACCCTAATCAGACTATGAGAAGTTAAGGATGTATATTGTAATCCTTAAAGTAATTAACTAATAAAACAATGCAGAGGTAAAGCTGTAAGGCCAATAGGTAAATTTAAATGTAATTTAGTTTTAAAAAATATATAAATAATCCAAAGAAGGGAGGAAAGAAGGAACAGAAGGATAAAACACACACACACACACCAAAAACAAAATGAAATAGCTAACAGAAAATAGATACAAAAATGACCTATTTTCCAATGATATCAATACATATAATACAGATTAAATATTAATGGACTAAACACTCTAATTCAAAAGCAGAAGTTAACAGGTATATGCAAAAAAATGAAACTCGATCCGCAACTTACACCATACACAAGAATAAGCTCAAGATGGATAATAGACTTAAATGTAACTCAAAAAATCATAAAAGAGGGAGAACAAAGATAGAGAACTTGTATTATCTTGCTTAAGGACTAACTATAAAGCTACAGTAATCAAAACAGTGTGATATCAACATAAAAACCAATAGATCAGTATACAAAATGGGGAGCACAGAAACAGACCCACACTTATGTAGACATTTAGTTTCTGATAAAAATACCAAAGCAATCCAATGGTGGGTGGAGCGGGGAGAAAATCCTTTCAACAAATGATTCTGGAATAACTGGATGTTTATATGGGAAAAATAAACCTTGACCTCCTACCTCAAATCATATACAAAAACTAAATTGGTGTGGATCAGACTAAAACAAAACCTGAAACTATAAAGCCTTAGAGAAAAATATAGGAGAATATCTTTGTGATTCAAAAGATGAGCAAAGTTTTCTTAGGTCACAGAAAGCAATAAACATGAAAAACTATGGACAAATTAGACTTCATCAACATTAAAAACTTCTGCTCACAAAAAAATAAACAGGCAAGCCGCAGGCAGGGAGAAAATATTCATAAAACATAAATCTGACAAATGGTTGGTATCCAGTACATATAAAGAACTCCCACAGCTCAATAATAAAAAGACAAATAACCCAATAAAATATTTGAACAACCACTTCACAAAAGTAGACATATGAATGGCCAATAAACACGTAACAAATGGTTTAGCATTATTAATCATCAGAGAAGTGCAAATTACAATTACAATGACTTACCACCAATTTTGGTGAGAATGTGGAGCAACTGTAGTATCATGCATTGTGTAAATGAAAAATGATACAACTGTTCTGGGGAAATATTTTGGCAGTTCTTAAAATAAAATTAAACATGCACCCACTCCATGACTCACAGGTTCCACTCATAAGCATTCATCCATGAGAAGTGGAAATGTATGTTTACAAAAAGTTTATAGCAGCCTTATGCACAATAGCACCAAATTGGAAATAGCCCAGGTGTCCATCAATAGTAGAATGGATGAATAAACTGGCATATTTAAATAATGGATTAACAACAAAAATAGAGAGGAACAAACTACCCAGATGCCTGCAACAACATGCAAGAATTTTAACAACATCATTCTAAGTGAAGGAAACTCCCCCAAAAGAATATGTATAGTATAAGGGCCTTTTAAGTGAAATTCTGGAATAGGAGAAACTAATTAATAGTGGGAAAAAATCAGTACTGTGGGAAGTTGATGATGACGCTTGACTGGGAAGGGTCATGGGGAACTTTCTGGGATCATGCATTGTTCTATATCTAAATAGAGATTTGGGTTTCACAAATAGAGACATTTGTCAGAAATCACTGAATATACAATTAAGAGCTTTGCACGTGTGTATAACTTTAACACTAAAAAAACCCAAACAAACTGAAAATAAACATTGAATTCCAGTTAATTATATGCACGCTAAAGTTTTTGGGAAAAGTGACTGATATCTGCAATTTATTTTTAAATGCATAAGAAGTAAGATCGACTGGTGGATAGATAGTGAATGAGTAGATGGATAATTATGTGATAAAACAAATATTGTAAAATGTTAATGGTAACCTCTACATATGGCATACATAGGTAGGTGTTCACTGTAAAGCTTTAATTTTCTTATAATAAAATTCTGGGGGGAAAGAGCAATGAAAGAAGAAAGCAAGGAACACAACATTTTTGGGGGGTTTACTCTTCCATATCTTTTCCTTTAATGAAATATTGGTGTTCTTAATTAAGATGGAAGATTACTCAATTTGTTTGAGATGATGCTAGAAGATACTTTACCTCCATTAACTGAAACAGTCTTTAGCTTCTTCTGTGGAGACATGACTTGTGATCTAAGTCTTGAGCTTGCTCCCTAGCTGTTGGTGTCCTCGATGCGTTGGTCTCACCATTCCCACACTGTTGGCCGCACACAGCCATGTACACCGCACAAAGCTAAGAGACGAGGTCCAGAAACAGATGGGGCAGATACGGTTGCTTTCCCTCCTGCGACAAATCCCACAATATGACAGAAAAGATAATAAATAAGCAAAATGCCCTCTCCTTCTAGAATGCACAACAGCGTGAAAAATAAGAGTCATCAACAGACCAGGAATTTCAAGCGATTCTAGATAGAAAACAGAAACACACATACGCAGGAGAACACAGCTATGACTGTTGGGATGATTTGGAGATACTCCAAGAGGCAATAAATGGAAAAAATTAACTGTGGAGCTGCTCAAACCTATAAGACCTTATTGGAGTTTATAAAAGAAGACCATATAGAGAGGCATAATATGTTTCCAGACTCAATGTTATAAATATTTCTACAAAACCAATTTATAAATTCAGTGCAATTGCCATCAGAATTTCAAACGGATTTTTTATGAAAAATGACAGACGGAATCTAAGGTGTTCAAGGTGTGGTGTGGGACCTAGACAACTACCTGAGATCTGAAGGCAAACTACAGGCATTATTCCATCTGCAGGGTCATTGGTTGTTTTCTTTTGGCCATTTGTTGCTGTTTTTTATGTCTTAAAAATATAACTTGTCTGTGGCAGGTGCTTCATTGACCAAACTGTGAAAGAGGGGAAAGCCCAGGCTGCCTACTTCAGAGAACTTTTCCTCATTTCCTACTCCAGTGGGAACAAATTGGGGAGCCAAGGTTAACCTGATATTTTCTGTCTATTCTAGGTCACAGTGGCAAGCGACAGAGTTGAGAGGTTAAGTGGCATTTAATGGGAAGGAACGTGAACTACAGCTGTTTCGTATTTGCCCCAACTGTGAATGTTCAGGCAGAGAAGTGGCCAGTGTGGTTTTAGTCCTCAGGGTTCAAGTGAATTCAGATTTTCGCCTACAGGACAAGGAGTGATAATAAACACAAGACTGTAATTAATAAAATGATCTGAAATGGGGGAGAGAATACAGAAAGGGCCTTTGTTCTCCCCTCTGTGCTTCTCTGAAGACTCTTTTTGGGTCCAAGTGTGTTATATTTGTTCTTTTTGACTTCCAACTGCCTTTCCTTTTGTTAATGAAAGAACACTGTCCTCCTAATTGTTTCCAAATTAGAAAACGAGAGAGGCAGAATTAAGCTAGATCCATGGTGCATGGTTCTCGGAAACTGATGATGCATGTTGGGTAATTTGATTTTGTGGCAATTAAAAGGATTAATCATGAAATGTAAAAAGCTGCCTAGTATTATACTTTAAAATGAGCTCTGTATGAGATGCATACCTACATTTTCCATTCATGTAACAAAAATGTTTGGGAAATGGTTTCAGGACTAAAGCACAGATAAAATTAGAATGGCAAGAGAAGAGGATCTGTATATGCGATTTCTTCCCAAATCAGAGAAGATAAAACTACACACATGGCCCTTTATTCCTTGGGTTAAACTAAGGGTAATTTAATATTCATCACTTCTTCTGAATAAAGCTTTGAAGAATGGTCCTCTTGAGGTTTCGTTCTCACTCAAATGTCAGGTGCTTCATTAAGCAAATTCTGTGATGGGGGGAAACCTGAGTTGTCCAGTTCACGGAACTTACTCTTATTTCCTCTTCCAATGGGAAAAAAAGTCCAGGGCCACGTGTAAGCCAGTGTTCTGTGCTAAATCTTGGAGACTCAAGGTCAAGTTCAATGCTTTTATTATCATCATTATTATGATGATGATGATTATTTTTAGTGACTTTGAAATTACAAGTGCATACTACATAATTATTTCTCAGGATGAATAGCACAAAATAAAGACGTCTTTAGTAGTAGTCCCTCTAAATTTTTTTTTTCTTTTTTTTTCTAGCATAACACAGCTGGTATTAACTGTGAAAAGTGTGCTAAGGGTTATTATCGCCCTGGTGGTGTTCCTGTGGAGGCCCCCCATGGCTGCATCCGTAAGTTTCATTTCAACCTGGTGTGTTTCAGCGGTGTGTGTGCTTCAGGGAGGTCGACAGGCTAAATTCTGGTCAGTTAGTAGTTCTCTCTTTTCCTATATTTTCATATTATTGGTTCACTTCTTACTATGTGACCTCAGGCAGTTACGTAATCTCTCTGAGTCTCGGATTTCTTATATACAAATAGAAGTGATAATATATTCCCTCAGATGAAATGAAATGCCCTCAAAAGCCCCCAGGAGAATGCGAAGCACTGGGCCTGTCACATACTGGGCCTGCAACAGATGTCAGTTCCTCCGTTCCCTGTTGTTCTGACGTGTTTGTATGATCTCCAATAGCTTTAAAATGTTTTCAGAAGTAGAGTAAAACAAAACATAGTAAAGATTTTACAAGGATTTAATAATAGTCCTAACATTTAAAATAGCTACAATTTATCATGCCTTTGCTATATACTTTCATAAATGTCTTATTTCGTTATCACAATAAATTTAGGACATTGTCTTATTACTCTCGTTTTTTAGCTACAGGGAAACCAAAGGGTCTGAGTAGTTAAATATGTTGGCCCAGGTGACAAAACCACTAACGGGCAGATTCAGGAAATAGTTTGGACCTGTCTGGAGTCACTGTGTTATACCACATCCACTATATGGAAAATGCCACTGGTCCTTCCCTGGCGAATGATCAGCCAGAGGTGCAGTTATAGACCTTGTCCTGCATGTGTATCCTGTTGGGTTCTTTTCTGTTCTCTGGCTGTTATGGTTGGAAGACAATTTCAGTCCTGGAGTTGGTCTCTGTGCCCACTGTTTCCCAAATCCATCTGTCATTTCATTAAGATTTGAGGGCATCAAAGTCCAAAGTATGTGTGAACTCTGGTCGGTCTCTCTCTGGGACATTCAATTTTCTATCACTTTTCTCATTTCTTTCTTTGTCGTTGAAGTGGTCTCATGGAGATATTAGAGGCTTAGCACAGAGAATCCAAAGGCATATATATATCTCCGAAACAAATTAAGCAAAGAACACCAGGAGAAGCCAGGCTGTGGTGAGGCAGGGAGAAGTTACTTAATGCTCACAGCTTCTCCCGTCTCCCAGTTCCTCATGGGACATATAAGCTGAGTTATGGCAGTATTTCTGCTGTCCAAGGTGAGGACCTGCCGAGTCAAGGAAAGCTCCCAAGGGAAGGCATTACCAAACTTCTTATACCCCAAGTATGTGCCTCTGAAATGCAAACCTAATAACTGCCTTGGTTGCCTTCAGTAAGCTGTATCACTTGCATCTAGCATTTGGATTATGGGCACACTCTTGCTATACTGTCCACAGATTATAGATCCACATCTAGGCATCCCACACTGTGTCCACACCACGGCCGTGAATGATGAGCACAGTGTGGACACTCACGGCTGGCTCGTGGCCAGCAGCTCCAGCACACAGCCACCCACCCCTCTGCTGGAGCTGGTGAAGGCTTTCCCTCTTCTGCAGTGAGCTGGGCGGGGCGCAGTGTAATCAACTGCATTCTCGAGAACATCTCATGGTGGCTGCTCGTTGAAGCTCATCTCTGAAGGCCCACGGGGTTCAGTCAGTGGGAACCACATATGTAGTGGAAAACAGTAGGTACCCTTTCAAGAATGACTGTAGACCAATGATAAAGTATTAATCGTTGTATGAGAAGTATTGAGACATAGTTGCCTTATCAAGTGCAGCGAATGGCTGATCTTTTGAAAACTGGGAATTCTCTTAGCTTGCAGCTGTAACCCTGAGCATGCAGACGACTGTGAGCAGGGCTCAGGCCGCTGTACCTGCAAGCCCAATTTCCACGGAGACAACTGTGAGAAGTGTGCCGTCGGATACTATAATTTCCCATTTTGCCTGAGTAAGTACCACGGCGGGAGTAGAGACCTCCCTTCTTGGCACACAGCTGGGCTTTGTGCATTAAGACTGAGGGCATGGCGCCTGATAGGGGGACGGGGGAAGCTACAATGGGGCCAGGTGAGTGGTATTTACATGAAAGTGTTTCCAAAGGTTTGGAACATAAAATTTATACGAGTATGTTGTGTAGGCTTATTTATCTCCAAAGTGTTAGGTTGTACCATAGACATTGCCATCTCATTAGGCCAAAAGGGTCCAATATTGGCAATTTCAACTTAACAGTAACCCATGTGTGTGATTTTTCTTCATTAACCTACAAGGGATGTCATGGTTTGCAGAGGCCCTTTTGCGTACACATAGTGTATGTCACATTTTAGGTGACCAGGAGGATGTTTCCTCTTTCCCAATGAACAAGAGGCCAAGTTATCACGAGCCCCTACTGCAGTGACCTAAGTGAACATCTCAGCATCTCGGAGAGAAAACCGTATCTGTTAGAAACACTGTAGAACATGCAGCAGGAGCATCTATGAAATCGGCTGTGCAAGTTGTGATAAGAGCGATGGTTCTGTCTGTTCTGCCACAGTAAAAAAAAAATGCAGCTCGGTGTCAGGACGAGGCCCCCCCCCCCCCCCCCCCCCGCACTGGCTCTTGTGCATTATTCCCACCCTCCCAGCTCTATACCACAGGAAGAGCACGCTGAGTCGTGGGGATATGGGCAGGACATGTGACTATGTGACTGGGGTAGCTCGCTGTCCAGGCTCACAGCTGTCCCAGGGTAATGATTAAACTAGCACTGTCGAGTGTCCTAGTCTGAAGGACACATTATATGACCATCTAATGTTTAAAGGAGCCAACTTTAAGCCAGAACACAGTAACACCAAGTCAGGACTTGGAATCTGCAATTATTGGATAGAGGCTGCCCAGAAATTGTATTTGCCTTTTCAGTGAAAAAAGGAAACCTGAAGTAATGTTATGGTGTAAACAAAATTGGGGGGAGGGGGATCTTGAAGGAAAACATTTTTAAAAAGCTAGTCTCAATTTTACATTAAAAAACCAATAAGGATGTTAAAGAAGTCAAGCCATCCTGCATAGGCTGAGACTTAGCTATTGTGAGCGCAAAATGTCTATTTCTCTTGGTTAAGATACAAATCAGGATGGCTGAGCAGCCTGCTTTCAATTACCAGCTGCATTTTAAATGTAGCAATATTGCCTTTCTTTAAATTAGTCTCCACAGGCTAGGTAAGAGAGGGCTTCTTTCTAGTTAGTGCAGTTTAATATTTAACTTTACTGTCTCCTTAACCCTTCTCTGTACTTTTTAATAAACTATTTTCCTAGGAATTCCCGTTTTCCCTATTTCTACTCCAAGTCCAGAAGGCCCAGTAGCTGGAGATATAAAAGGTAAGTAGCCTCTCTTTTGACCTCACTTTAATGACAATGTTATGCCCTCCAGACTTTTCCTACTTCCTGTGCGCAGCTATGCCAGGTTCAGGGAGTGTGGCGGTGCCTTGCGGCGCCTCCTCTGTGCGCTCCCCATCCTTCCCCTACGATTTTCTACTGCAATGGCACTACTTCTTCTTCTTTTTTTTTTTTTATTGATTTTAGAGTGAGAGGAAGAGAGAGGGAGGGAGAGAGAGATGGAAACTCATCAATGAGAGAGAACATCCATCGGCCGCCTCCTGCACGTCCCCTGCTGGGGATTTGGCCCACAACCTGGGCATGTGCCCTCACCTGGAATCGAACCGGCCACCGCTTGGTGCACGGGTCAATGCTCAACCACTGAGCCAAACCAGCCAGGGCGGCACTACTTCTTAATGAAATGAAGCTGAGCTTGGACTACCAGTCACTAGCTTGCTCAAAACCTTCCACTGCATCAGTGCCTCCTGTCTCCTTTGGGAGTCTCTACAAAGAAACCCCAAGAAAGGAAAGGAGTGCAGACAGATTGTTTGGGAGGTGGTCCCAGGAAACATCATTAAGGGCGTGAGTCAGGAGTGAGAGTCGCCCCCCGTGGTGTAGATACATTAGCAAGCAGGGTCCTCCTGCAGCACCCGGAGCTCCATCCCTCTGAGCGCAGACTTTGCTCAGCGTTATCCCCGCTAAAGGGATAACCTCAGTTACCTGCCATGCAGGGAGGGCTGCCTTGGGCATGGATTCTGTGGCCCCTCCAGCTTGGCCTGCAGGAAGGCTGAGGAGCTCCTGCAGCCAGAAGAGTACCCCGGGCAGAGAGTGGCAGAGGTGTGCAGGAAGGTGTGGGAGCTACAACTACCTAATTGCTCATTCTGTGAATATTTTGTGATAGTCGATTGTGATTGCTGAGGACTTAGCATTCCCAGCTTTCTTAGAGCTTACATTCCAATTGGGGAACTCATACAATAACATAGATAAAACTATTAAACAAATAAAATCCCCAGTGTGCTAGATTACGACATGCAAGTTTACTACTTTTAAGGAGGAGTCATTCACACTGTAGGTATAAACTAACCCATATGAGATATTGCAGGCCTTTGTGTTAGATTCTGGAGCTGTGGGCAGTTTCCTACATGAACCCCATGATGGCACACATAGGGGTGCACACACTCAGAAGGGCACGCCTGCACCAACATTGCGTGCACACAGCCCATGACCAACTGAGTCACTCAGGGACTTTGCTTCTCATCCCCCAGGGAGCCCAGAAGGGGGCTTCATGGTCACATGTTCTCTCTCTGGGGTGTAGGTGGGGAGACGGGTGTGAAAGCACACGTGGCCCCCCTCCAGGCAGGTCCAGGGTCTGGGTGGGAAGAGGAGGGGCACTTGTGACCAGATAAGATGGTCTCTGGAGAAATCTCTTTGGCTAAGGATTTCAGGTTCTGTGACAATGTGGCAGCTCAGGGTATGGGCTGGAGGCAGCCTTGGTCATGAGTGTTGTGGAAAAAAATGAGGCAGAGAGAGAGGATAGGAAAGGTGAGGTTTGCAGATTTAAATAGGATGGTCAGAGAAGGCCTCATTGGAAAGATAATAGGCAGGGCCCTGAGTGGATGGGTATGAGCTCTGCAGGTGTCTGGGAAAAATCACCCAGACAGAGAGAAAGTGCAAAGTCACTGGGGCAGGGGCCCACTGCGGGTGTTCACCGAACAACAGGGAGACCAGATGTATGAAAGCTGAGTGAGCAAAGGGGAGATGGATAAGGAAGGGGGCTCCCAAGGCCAGATAATAGACCCCTGTCAGCCACCACAAAGACGTAACCTCCTCCTCTGAATGACATGGGAGCCATGGAGAGTTTTGCACTGAGAATTGATATTGCATAAGGATCTTTGTGGCAGTTGTGTTGAAAACCACTTGTAGGGGAGAGGAGAAGCGGGGAGACGTCATGGGAAGTATTGCAATAATCCATGAGGAAGAGATGATGGTGACTCAGACGCGGGAGGTCTCGGCGGAGGTGACAAGGAGTAGACAGATTGTGTATGGAATCTGAAGAAAGAGCCAGCAGGAGTTGCCAGGGGGTTGCTGGACCGGAAATGGGGTACGAGAGAAAGAGAGGGCCCGGGATGGAGAAAACAAGGAAGATGTTGCCATTTATTGAAACAGGAAAGGCTGTGAAAAAGAAGGTGGTGTGTACGGGCTGGGGGAGAGGCAGGCGGAGGAGGTCGTGGGAGCTTGTGGACACCCTCTTCTGTGACGTAAGAATCAAGGTCAGAGGCAGAAGCGAGGGTGGGGAGGAGCTCTTGGAGTTGAGAGAGAAGGTATAACAGAGTCGTCCTAGAATGTGTACGTGCTTGGGGCCTGAATGGGCTTGGGGAGTGTCACAGGAATGGGGGCAGCACAAAGGGCTCACTGAGAGCAGGTGTGACATGATCCAGTCTCCTTCCTATGCTCTGTCGACTTCTGCTCTGCCTGTACCTCTGATCATACCTCGGCACCTGTGTGATTACGTGGGGTGCTGTCTAAAGTTTTTGTCAGATGCGTGGTTACTTGGGAACGGCAGCTCTGCTCGACTTGGTCCCCACAGGACCAACCACAGCATCCTGCCCACAGGAGTATAATCCAGCGCTCCCCTAAAATGTTTGCTAATTGACTAGAATGAAACTCAGCTTTTGAGTTTTGATTACAACACACATCCGTGGTCTTCTGCCACAAGAATGTTTTAGATCTCCCACTTACTGTCTGTTTACAGTAATTCCTTTGTTATTCAGTTCCCTTTCCTCCCCAGTAGACTGGTGTTGACTTCAGGAAAATACATTTAATTGAACTTGAAGGGAAGTTCAGATGTCTGTTACAAAATATTAGGGAACAGCCTCAAGGAAAAGAAGTTTAATTAGTGCACTTAGATTTATTTGGGAATTTGAATGCACAGATATCCATTTCAATTTGGTCTTTTATTAATGCATTTGAAAAACATCCAACTTGGGGCCTAACTCCTGGCAGTGAACTTGAGAAGCACAAACATCTCAACAGCCAGAGGATACACAGTACTGGATACCAAGCGCCTTTCAACCCCCGAGGATTTTAATTCTTTAAGTCCCATTGATGCCTTCATGTCTTCTAATACAGAGGATATAAATTCCTGTGTATCACCCCAGGTCTTAATCTAGATTTCCAGGGGTGAAGCCCAGGCTTTTATTTTGAGCCAGTTTTCCAGAGGATTCTGACATATGTCTCTTGATACGAACCACTCCTCCAGTTAGTAAAAGTTCCCATTTAGTGGTTGGCAAACTTTTCTGTAAAGGGTCAGAGAGTAACTCTTTTCAGCTTCGTAGGCAAAGTGGCAATACTTAACTTCGCTGTTGTACAAGCAGCTATAGACAATACATAAATGAATGAACTTGGCTGTGTTCCAGGAAAACTTTATTTACCAAGACAGGAGTGGATTTGGCACTCAGGCCACGGTTTATGGACCCCGGGGTTATATCAGAATCTCTGGGTCTGGGACTGCACAGCCAGCAACGGTGTTTTACCAGGCGACTCCAGCGTGCAGCCAGTAGGGGAGCCGCTGCTGCAGAATCCACCTGTCAGTTTCTGACACCGAAGCTGTGAAGCGAAGGACAGAACAGTGTTGCAGATCAGGATGTTCGTGGATTTTTTACTGTATTTAATGACCCCGGATATGATTAAGATTTTCTGGGTCCAAGTGATTAGTTGTTTCCACTTAAGATTCATTTTTAGAAGTCCATGTATAACACACCCCTTCGAGGGCTCCTTCTAAACATCACAGCATACGCAAAACATACACTCTAGAGCAGTGGTTCTCAACCTTCCTAATGCGGCGACCCTCGAATACACTTCCTCATGTTGCATGTGGGCGTATCTGCATGTGGGCGGACCCGCCTGGAGATGGACAGAGGATCGGTGTCTCGGTTCCTAAGACCATCAGAAATATGTGTTTTCCCGTGGTCTTAGGCGACTCCTGTGAAAGGGTCGTTCGACCCCCAAAGGGGTCGCGACCCCCAGGTTGGGAACCGCTGCTCTAGAGGGACACTGGCTGACAGGCGTGTGCACACGCTTTTCCCTTCAAGTTCAAATGCAGAGAGGAGAAAAGCAAAATCCACGGTGGCAGAAAGACTCTAGGTGCTTACTTTAGGAGGCTGATACAGTCCAAGGATGATGGTGTGGGGCAGCCCACTTGGCCGGAAGACTGGCTAGTCAGGACAAATATGAAAAGGTTTTGATTCCCCTAATCACTTTTTTAAGGGTTACTGGCAACTGCCAAAGTTTTGAGGTCAGTGTGGACGGGACTAAGGATGAGAACTCGGAGGCTGCAAGGGAGCCGCTGGGGCATACTTTCCTGGCTGTGTTCTTCCCCAGGCAGGACATTTCATCAACCCGGCGGGGTGGGGCGGTCACTGTTGACGTGGAGACCTGCTAGGTAAGGCTGAAGAAAAGGACCAGCGAATTCTGATATCTCAGTTTTGAAGCTCTGTGTAGATGCCAACAAAATAGAATTCAAAGAGCGGTGTTTACTGAAAAGAATTCTAGTCTTGCATGCTTAGCATGGTCTTCATTCATTAAACTTTTATTAAGTGCCTACTCCGTGCTAGGCACTGGCAAGGCAGCAGTGTGCTGCCCAGTCCCTGCACCCTGGAAGCTCCCTGCCCTGCAGGAGACACCCAGGTGAACGGTTATAACAGCAGGAGTTAACGCCATGACTGGGCAAGAACACAAAGCCATGGGAGCATACAAGAGTGACATCCTCCCAGTCCCTTACAGAAGGGAGGGAGGGAAGGCTGGATGGCAGAAAAAGAAAGGAAGGGAGGAAAGAAGGATGGGAGGTAGGTAGAGCTTCTGGAAGGGCTTCCCCGGAGCAGGAGGTGAAGGAGTTAGGCAGGCAGAGGGGCAGCTAAGAGGAGGCATGGGGATAGGAGAGGGGATGCCAGGTGGGTCACTGGGGCTGAATCACGGGGAAGGGGGAAGAAGCGGAAGTGAGTCATGGGGTACGGAGGGGAGTGGACTAGGAAAAGATCAGAGGGCAGCCAGGCTCCACTCTGCAGGTCACAGTGCACAGCTGTCTCTCGTCTGAGGGACACCACATCCACTGAGGACCTTGCACGTTTGTATATTTATGACGACGATTTTGCAGCAGGTGACAGGAAAGCATCTTGAGGAAGAGACACCTTCTCTAGTTTGCACAAAGGTGCCACGTGGGCTGCTGGCAGTCTGGAAGATTTGAAGGGTATACAATGTCACACATGTCAAGGATTTTGGATTCTGTCACCTTTGAGGAATTTAAACTGGACAGTGATATGAGAAGAAAGATCACTCTTGACACCAGGATGGACTGAACTGGAAGGGGTCAGACAGGAACCAGACAGCCCTGTTAGGAGGTTGTCAAAATAATCCAGACGGCTCTGGCCGGTTTGGCTCAGCGGTTAGAGCGTCGGCCTGCAGTCCGGAGAGACCCGGGTTCGGTTCCTGCTAAGGGCATGTACCTCGGTTGCAGTTTGTCCCCGGCCCTGGTTGGTCGTGCGGGTGGCAGCCACTCGATGTGTCCCTTTCACATCGATGTTTCTCTCTCTCTGTTTCTCTCTCTCCCTCCCACTCTACCTGAACAAAAAATGGAAAAATGTCCTCGGGTGATGAATGGTCAGGGCAGTGCTCATGCCAGCCTGTGTTCCGAGGCTTCTCCTGTGATGAATGTGCCCTTTTTGTCAAATTAGGTGACTGTTTGATTTATGTATGAACAAGTCAGAGATTATGCAAACATTGCAAAGGTGTTCTGATTTTCCCTGATCTTTTGTCTTAATTATTTTATTAGGAAAAAAAATTCCACAACACTGTTACTAACCTTTTATCTGAAAGATTAAGGGTTTAAGGCAAAGCAAAACGAATGGGATTTGGCTAAACTTTAAAAATTATTGTTTTAGCCCTGGCCGGTTTGGCTCAGCGGTTAGAGCGTCGGCCTGCGGTCCCGAGAGACCCGGGTTCGGTTCCCGCTAAGGGCACGTATCTTGGTTGCAGTTTGTCCCCGGCCCTGGTTGGTCGTGCGGGTGGCAGCCACTTGATGTGTCCCTTCACGTCGATGTTTCTCTCTCTCTCTCTTCCTCTCTCTCCCTCCTACTCTATCTGAACAAAAAATGTCCTCAGGTGAGGATAAAAAAAAAAAAAAAAAAAAATTATTGTTTTAATCCTTGTAGAAAATCTTTTCAAAATGCATGAGACCTCCCTTTCTTAACCAGGGTGAACCCAGTCAAATCTTGAGCCTTTCGGGATCTTTTTTATGGGACCATGGTGCAGATTAGACACTAAAGTTCTTGATAGAAATGTAGATGGTTTAAATAAGAGATTGGTTTGACTATGTAAACGAATCTAGGACATACCTTGAACGTGGCTTTTAAAATCAATTATCAGCTTATATTTTTAGCATGAGCTTTAGAATCAAACAGATCTAGGTTCAAATCGTGACTCTGCTTTTCTGGCTGTGTGACCTTGGACAAAGTAATTACCCTTTCTGGGCATCTTTTTGCTCAACTCTAAAATGCCCACCTCTCTTACAGGGCTCTTGCTTGACTTCATTTCATTTTAATCCTCACCTGAGGACAAGCTTTTATTGATTTTAGAGAGAGAGATAGGGAGAAGGAGAGGGAGCGAAACATTCATATTAGAGAAAAACATCCATCGGTTGCCTCCCATATGCGCCCTGACCAGGGATCAAGACCAGGAATCGAACTGGCAGCCTTTTGGTGTATGGGACAACGCTCCAACCAACTGAGCTTCAGTGGCCAGGGCTTGACTTCATTTTTCACCCGTTTATAATGAAGTCAAGCAAGAGCCCCGTCTTGATGAGAAATATTTATTTATTGAGAAATACTGTATGATGACACTGGGTCCCCAAAGTGACCTCTCACCACGTGGTCAGTCTGCTAGATGTTTGACTCATTTATTATGTGTAATGAATCACCCCCAAACGTAGAAAAACTTGGAGAAATACAACACAATTTATTTCTCACAATTGTGTGGGCTCGCTGGGCAGTCTTTCTGCGGGACTTGCTGGAGGGTCTGCTGGGGACACGGGGCGTCCCTCCCACACGGCCTTTCTCCTCGAGGAGGCCAGACCGGGTACTTCACGTGGCTGTCTCAGGGGTCCCAGAGGGTGAGAATGGAAACCACAGAGCCTGCTGTGACCTGGGCTCAGAAATCCTACACCAGCCGTTCACTTCATTTCTCGGGTCAGAGCAAGTCACGGAGCCCATAGTGATTTCAGTGGAGTGATGTGAAAGGCACACAGCTAAGATGGAGACTGGGAGGGGAAGGGGGAGCCTGCTTTACACACGGGCTGGGAAAACCGTCCTCGGAGCTGACTGAACAGAGAAGGAGCCGGGGGCGGGCGTTCCAGGCAGAGGAAGGTCCTGAGGTGCCAGAGCCTTTGTTTGCGGGCTTGGGAGCAGCCGACTGCTGGGCAGGCCTCCTGTCTGGGGGGGGGGGGGGAGCGCCCCAAAGCCACGGATGGCACGGAGTTGAGCTGAATTTACGTTTATTTCTCTTCTTCTAAAACATATTTAATTCAAGATTGTCCATAAATAGGAATCTATTAAATTGAAGTTTTACCGTACAAAGCTCATATCTGGGGCAAAAAATGTGTTTCGCAGGAGTAGTGATTAAAAGATTATCTGAAAGATGTTTTGCAAAGTATGCCCTCCCTGGATGTTGCTGAGTGGCATCTCTGACTTTTCCTGACTATTTGTTTCATTTCCCTTGAGGATGAGTGTTTGGGGTTAAGAATGTCTATAAGCCGCGGATAACGCATAGTGTGTGTTTTCATGACGGAGACCTGGAGGAAGAGAGAAAGTGACAAAGGGATGGACAAGGGAGACCCCTCTGAAGTGTCCTCTCCTCCACAGGGTGTGACTGTAACTTGGAAGGAGTTCTCCCCGAAATATGTGATGCCCGCGGAAGATGCCTGTGCCGCCCTGGGGTGGGGGGCCCTCGGTGTGACGCCTGTCGCTCGGGCTTCTACTCATTTCCTATTTGCCAAGGTAAGTGGGCAGCACAGCACAGCGATCGCCGGTCCCCCGAGGTGAGTCTCCTCCTCAGGAAAGGCAGAGGCTGTTTTCTGGCAGAGCTGTGTGGCCTGCGGTTTAATAAATAAGCCCTTGACTTATAAACGTGCATCACATGGGACTGTCCTCCTCCCTGGACCATGTCACCTTCTTCCGTCTTTCCAACCCTACCCTTCCTCCTCGCTGATGGTCAGGCACATGGCTTTGGAGTCAGCTGCCTGCGCGTGCGCATCCTGGCTCTGGGGAGGAGGTGTGATGTGAGCAGGGTTTAGGAACCTGCCAGGCAGATACGGGGAGGAGGTGGGGCATTCCAGGGCAAGGGAACAGCATGCACAAATCCTCAACCTCCTCCCTCCCCACCGTGGTGTGTCCTAGCATCCCGTCCTGGTAAGAGTCACGGAAGAGGATGGACCGTGGGAGTAGGAGGCGTCTGGCCCAATCCCTAGGGCATAATAGGTGTGCTGTAAATGGTGGGTGAATGAGCAAATGCATGAATGGGTTTGCGCAAGTCCTTCTCCCCATTGCCTGGCGCTGTTCATCCCCCAGTGGTCAGTGTAGGGAAAGGAAGGAGGAAGAAGAGAAGATTGTCAGTCAGGGCTAGAACTTAACACTTCTGCAGTGTTGTACACAGACAGGGACTTGCCGTAAGTGATTAGGTGCTAACCCATCTCTTAGCGCCCAGGAAGCCAGACAGGGCACAGCTGCAGAAACTCAACAAGCCGCAGGGAGGCAGCTCCCACCTTGTTTTCCTCCCTTTCCAATCTTAATTACTTCTTATTTGCAAAACCCAATTGGCATCAGACATCCAGAACCCACCTCCAGGAGACTCTGGAAAGTGTCGTTTCTGGTTTCCCAGCCTCGGAACACAGGAGGAGGTTAGCATTGCTTTTGAGAAATCTCATCCACAAGGTCAGCCACAATAAGGACCTGTGTGTATGGGACAGGAGCAGGAAAAACCCTCCCCAGAGCTGGAGGGCAAGGTGCCCAAGAGCAAGGTTTCACTGGCTCTCACCGTGGGCAATTTACTTAATCCCTCTGTTCCTCAGTTTCCAAATAGTGCCCACCCTGCAATGTGCTGTGCAGGTTACGTGCCCACTGACGCATGGATGTTCTAGAAGCACTCTCTTGTATGGTAGCTATTATTCCTTAACCCTCCTTCTGTCCCATATTACCCTCTGCATCATTTTAAAATATATATATATATTTTTATTGATTTTAGAGAGAGAGGAAGGGAGAGGGAGAGAGAGAAACACTGATGTGAGAAACATTGATGTGCTGCCTCCTGCACGTCACCCCTGCTGGGGATTGAGCCCTCAGCCCTGGCATGTGCCCTGACGGGAATCAAACCGGCAACCTCCTGGTGCATGTGATAACTGACGCTCCACCAACTGAGCCACACTAGCCAGGGCATGCCCTCTGCATCATTTTAAGAGCCTGTTGCCCCAGTGCCAGCTGATCTCTCTGTTTGTATAGATGCCTTCATGACATATCCCAAGCTCCCTCTTTTTCCTCCTGGTCCCCTGGCACGCCCATCCACAGACCTCTATCCTCTGCCTCTACTTCTCAGCCTTTGCCTCTGAGGCCACAGAAGCTCTCAGTAGTTTCTGTACAGAGATTTGCTCACCTAGCAGGTGGAAGGGTAAGGACAGGGAGCAGGTATTTTTTCTTTCTCTTCCTTGACTTCAGCCATTTGAAATGTCCAATGCATTTCCCATGGAAACATTGGACAGGTGATACTTTTGTTCAGATTGTTTGCTAACAATTGTATGCTAACTTGGCTCTGTGGTCTGGTGTGAGAACTTCATCCTTGTATAAATATTGTTTCTGACATTTGAGCTCTACAACCCTATCCCCAGCGCTGTTTTATAGAAGCTCTACTCTGGGCATATATAGCCAAGAAGATGGGGGTTCGCTCTCTTTCAAACTTCCAATCTGGGGCTACAGTTTCAGCTGAGGAGGGGCAGGCTGCTGGCATTTGTCATTGCCCTTGTATGATGGAGACTCTGCCAGGCATTCCAAGCTGAGAATACTGGGGCCCTTATCACTCCTCCCCAGCTGGCTTATAGGGTGGTGGTTCCAAGTGAGGGGAGGCAAGCTGAGACAAGGGCCCACCACTCTCACCCCCAGTGCCTACTTGTACAGCAGGGGTGTTGCTCCAGTAAAAGTGGGTCCTCATATCAACTCTGGCCGCACAGTAGTTCTGCACATCCAGGAAGAAAGGTAGGTCATAATGATAAGGAGTTCTGAAGCTTTTTCTGAGGGGACTACTTTAACAGAGGAGAGAACTTCGTACCTAAAGGTGTTGTGAAAAATGGTGCAGATCTGGATGCATAACACTTAAAAGGAGACTGATAGCTCCGATAGAAGCAGAACAGCAGAGCAGCCAGGAGTGCAATAGAATCAGGTAAAGGTAGCCAAGAAGAGCCTTCCTGACATCACAGGTAATTCTGGAGGTTGGGAAGGTTAGAAGGCTACACCTACTCGGGCGTAATTAGAGAAGGACACGGGGAAGACTCAGAAACGTCTCCGAAGCTGCCTACAAACCCATCAACACAGAGTGGAAGCCTCATTGGCCACAAGAGGTTTAAGCATAACCTAACCAAACACTGACGGAACAAGCTGCTCTGACACAAGGCAACTCCTAGGGTGTCAGGATTAAAAATAATATCATAGTCATCCCTGGCCATCTAGAACTGTATGATGCCCAAGGCTGTGCCCTCTCCGAAGTGATCACAGAGGGAAAATCCAAACTAGTAGCCCATGGCTACATAAGGGGAAAAATGTAAACTCCCCAAACCATGAGAGTGGCCTTCAAGCCACGAACATATGCAATGGGAAAGGGTGTTTAAGTATAACCTTCAACCACTAAATTGCTTGTACTGACCCAGGTGACCCCAAGGTGGCCAGGCCAAGAGATAAAAACAATGGGGGAAAATCTGAATAGGAACATGAGAATCCTGAACGTTGAAGAGGAAATAGACTATGCAGAATTAGTTCAGTCAAGTCACTAAACAAATAAACAAACAACCAAGCAAACAATAGTAACAATCCTGGTGGTGGCTTAGTATCCAGAGTTGCTATAATATATTATTTAAAATGTCCAGTTTTAAAAAATAATTGTGAGTATGCAAAGAAACAGGGAAGTGTGACCTATACACAGGAAAAAAGCAGGCAATATAAACAGATTTTGAATGGGCTCAGATGGTGGACTTAGTAGACTAAAATAGTTCTATAAATATGTGCCAAGAACTAAAGGAAATCATGCTTAATGAATTAAAGGAAGGTATGATGACAATGTCTCATCAAATGGAGATTGTCAGTGAAGAGAGAGAAAATATTAAACAATCGAATGGAAATTCTGGATTTGAAAAGTATAATTGTAATGAAAAATTCACTGGAGGGATTTAAAAGTAGATTTGAGCAGGCAGAAGAATCAGCAAACTCAGTAATAGGTCAACAGAGATTATTCAGTCTATAAAAGAGAGGAAAAGAATGACAATACATGAACAAATCCTCAGAGAAATAAGGAACACCATTAAGTCCACCAAAATATGTGTAATGGGAGTACCAGAAGGAGAGGAAAGAGAGACAGTGCCAGAAAAAATTGTCAAAGAAATAATGGCACAAAACTCCCCAAATCCAATAAAAACAATTTATACACCTAAGAATTCAGTGAACTTCAAGAAGGATAAATAAAAAGAGATATAGACATATCATGGTTTAAATACTGAAAGACAAAGATAAAATCTTTAAATCAGTAAAAGAAAAATGACTTATTGCCTGCAAAGGAACCCCAGTTAGACTTCTTATCTGAAACAATGGAGGTTAAAAGGTAGTGGATCACATATTCTATGACCCGAAAGTCAACCAATAATTTTACATATATCAAAATTCTTTTTCAAAATTAAAGCAAAATAAAGACAATCCCAGATTAACAAAACTGAGAGAAGTTGATGCTAGCATCCCTACCTGCTTTATAAGAAATACTAATAGAGCTTTTTCAGGCTGAAAATAAGTGACACCAGACAGTAATTGGAATACATATGCAAAAATAACCCATTAGCCATGGGTTACTATTGGCCGTGGTAATTATGTAGGTGTATTAGCCTGCTTCGGATGCATAACAAGATGGTATAGACTAGGTGGCTTAAACAATAGGCATTTATTTTCTCAGTTCTAGAGGGTAGAAGTCCAAGATCAAGGTGCCAGAAAATTTTATTTCTGGTGAGTACTCTCTCCCTGACTTGCAGACAGCGGCCTTCTCCCTGTATCCTCACATGGCCTTTCCTCTTTGTGATGGTTGTGGGGAGAGATCTTTGGTGTTGCTTCTTCTTCTTATAAGGATTACAGTCCTATAGGATTAGTGACCCACCCTTATGACCTCATTTAATCTTAAATACCTTCTTAAAGGTTCTATACCAACATATAGTCTCATTGGAGGTTAGGATTTCAACATATGAATTGGGGGGAACACAGTTCAGTCCATGAAAGTAGGTATTACAAGACAGTGTAATTGTATATTTTTATTCTTTCTTGTCATGATTTATTTGAAAAGAAATTGCACAAGAATACACATATACATTGTTGGGCCTATAATATAGAGAAATCTAATAATATATTTCACAATGATAGATGGGTAAGCAAAGCTCAAAGCTGTGTTAGAATAAGGAAATGACACCAAATCCACAGGAAGAAATAAAGAGAACCAGAAAGGATAAACAATCAAGTTTATTAAAATACTCTATACATATATGCTTGCTTTCTTTTCTTCTATCTTTAGAAGACATAGATGATCTATAAACACACACACACACACATATATACACATATACATGTACATATATATATATACACACACACACACATACATATTTTGTTGGGTTTTAACATATATAAACATAATATGTACAACAGTAATAACATAAAAACAGGGAGAGGGGCCTGGCCAGTTTGGCTCAATGGTTAGCTGGACCAAG